TGTATCAACGTTTGAGAAGAGTTTACTTAACATTGGACAACCGCATAAGATGCGAGAGCAAGTAGTGTTTGTTGGAGTTGTTTCCTAATCGTTCTGGGTAAAGTGGTTGCCTAAGTGGATAAAATACATTCAGAAGGTTTGTTTTATTATTGGACTGATTGTTATTTAAAAAACAAATAAAAATGGCAATGTCCTTTCTTTTCTGTAAGGGATTTATTAAAGTCGATACTCAAAATGTGTGACTAGTACAAAGGTGTGTGATTGTATCCAGTTATTTCACATGCATTAAGTATTTACTGAAGGCTCTTAATTAATCTCAAGATATAGTCACCACTACTGCAAGTTCTTGGAGATTATGTATATAAAACGTGTGCTCTTCTCTTTCTTAGCCTGGTTGTTTTGAAAGAACTTTCAGCATGGAAGATGAGATCAGTTATAGTATGGAAGAAGAGCAAAAATCTCCTCTACCGTTTCTGAAAGAGGAAGAAAATGAAGACAAAGCTGGTCAGTTCTCTAATGTGGAAGAACACTGGGAAGGTGAAGATGATGAATTGTTTCGATAACTCGCAAAAAACTAACATTAATGTGTCTTCTAAGTTAGTAGATGGGAACAGTACAGTGCTAGGGTTGAATGATATTCCAAGTAAATGCAATGATTCCAGTAGGTGTTCTCCAGCATTACACTACACAGCTGTAACTAATCCAAATCTAACCCATTATTTCTGTAGCAGTAAATTCTCTACTTTTTACCTCTAAGGCATTTTCATTCAGAGTTATTGGTGGTAAAAATCTAACATTTGACTGTACGGACTTGATTCAGTTGCTCATACATTGGCGTCTAGTGCCATCTGCAGCGCTCTAGGCTCGCATCTGGCTCCAGAATGGCATAGGTCTTCCACAGGTTCAACTCTGTGAAGACATTGGATACCCTAAGACATCCGAACCAGCACCAGATACCTCTTAATAGGCAGCCAGTTTCTCTAATTGTGTCCAAAAGTATGTTTCAGTGCATGATGTGAGGCAACATATCTACCATTTTAGAGATTATCATGTATGGTGTAGTGCCGAATACTGACCTTTATGTTAAAAAGCGTTCTTGGGCTATTCTTTTCTCATTGTCATTTTCTTGGGCATGTAAATACCTAACAAAGATTTTCTGTCTTCACATTACAGTAGGATAAGGGAGTGTAAGATACACAAACTGTTGGCCCAAACCTGTCAATATATTAGCCTCCCCACCTGCCCTGTGGTTGGTTTTTTTTCCCCCCACCTACATTGGGACTGTTGGTGACACTTCCGTAACGAAGGCAGAGAGCATTTTCCTGTTTTGGTTTGCAGGTGTACAATGGTAGCCCTGCGTGTTTTGCCATGTGAGGTTTTTTTCTGTATGCTGCAGTAATGTTATAAAATGCCATCTCTGATGGTGTATTTGATAGCAAATACGCTAGAGCTTTGCATTTTAAAGTTCAAAGGCTCTATTAAACTGTTGTTTTAATATCTATTAGACTACAAGCTTGAAGAAGAGTTGGCTGGTGGTGGCAAGATGGGAAACACGGATGCTTCTGAAGGAGTTCGAGACAAATGTGATGCTAGCATGTAAATAACTTGTTTTGTTACCAGTTCCAACAGTAATTTTCTTGATAGTGTTAACTTGCCTTTTCAAGAGAAGGTTTTGTTAATTCAGCTATGCATTTTTTGTCAAATTAGTCATAGGCTGTATAGACCTTTCCACAAAAAATAAATTAAATTGGTCACTACTGTTAAAACAATGAGCTGAGTAAGATAAAGACAGACTCTGGATGCTTTTTAATCTGAAGCCGTTGTAGGTATGTACATGTAACACAATGATTGCACCATGTTAATGTGGGCTAATTGGCGCTCCTCAGAGTAGCATAGCACTAACCAATTTACACTTCTTCTAAAACCCAGCCAGCTCTTTGTAATACTGTGTGTTGTGTTTGTGTCCCTCTGTACTTGTAGAACATCAGGAGCTGCTGGAAAAAGGGAAGTTCGTCTGCTGAAGAATATCAGTGCCGGACTGTAAGTTTGTTTTTTTTTTTTTTAATATCTGCAGAGTTTTGTACCACTGTGTAAAGTCTATTAGCACAGAGTTGGTATGATGATAGATTAGTACTACGTTGATTTTACAAGTAGGTGGTACGGTGGATTTATTCCTGAAGAAATACATTTACATGTAACAGAGGTCATGCATGAAAAGGAATTCGGTGGTTTGAATGTGGCCTTAAGTAGTTGCTGCTCTCTTCACAAAGATCAAAGCACAGATTGGCTTACTGTGACAAGACTGTTAATCCCTGCCCTGGAATGAGCTGCCGTAGGATTATAAAGCATGATGACAAGCTCCAGTGTTGTTTATTAATATACCTGTGTGGCAAGCTGTATAGCGCGTATGCCTACTGCCAGTAAATGGTGACAGTGGTACCATTATCAACAGAGATACTCAAAATACACCAAAATTATTCAAAACAAAACAAAACAAAACAAACAAAACCCAAAACCAAAAAAACCCAACAGAAAACAAAACCAAAACTTCAGACCTCTTCTTGCTATGTGTTTAAGCAGACCAGAATGATGAGAGATTAGCTCACCCCACAAACTGATCCACTGTGTATAATATGTTTTAAACTAGTTTAGAATGTTCCCTTTAAAGTTTTAAACTATTGTTCAGGAAAACTAGAATTTGCAAGCCCGAGGTATAATCAATAGGAGCCACAGGCATTTCAAAACAAAGATATGTAATTAATGCATTAAGTGTGGGTATAAATGTTCAACATTAGATATCCAGGTCTAAAAATCTTGGGTTAAGTACATGCATGTAAACTTCTTGTACAGATTATGTTCGGGTTTTTTCCTTATTTGTACTGGTTGTATTTGTAACAGTTCTGGTAGAATAAGAGTAAAACGGAAAATGGTTAACCCACAAACGTGTAAGTGGATGACGTACAAACTTCACGTAACTTTTCAATTTCTTGTTGTGTTTTCATTGTTAATTGTGTGTTTCAATTCAAAGGGAAAGCTTGGAACGCTATTTGGGCAATATTAATAATATTCAGGCTGTGAAGTATACAGATAGAATTTGCATGTTAACCTTACAGAAGAACCTAAAAGAGCTCAGCGACATAGCCAAAGAAAAGGAACTTGCCGTCCAAAAAGCGAGGTTAGTGTTTAAGCGAACATAATCCACCAGCATAAATCACCATCAAATACCGGGCTACTGTTATAAATATTAGAGTTTGTAGGTTTTTTTTCGTGAAAGTTATGTCATGCAAACACTTATATCCCCAAACCCTTGTAAAGAATGAAGGATCAAGGCTAAAAATTAATTACAAACTTGAAAAAATGAAACACAATAATGAATGTTAAAGAAAGGGTGTTCAGGCTGGGACAATTACATGCTAATTCCTTTCAGTGATGTCTGCACAATCCTGCTGGTTCAATGGTCAGTTGGAAACATTAAGTGGAAAATTCATTGTAGACATTTTCTTCACTGTGATGGACATGGTACATTAGAATCGGCGCGGTTACTCACATACTTTAAGCACCTGCTATGAGTGTTTTGCCATGTCAAGGTCACAATGACGGTCTTTAGCAGCAACTCTATCTGAAGAAGGCTAATGTCAAAAGATGCTGTTTATGCTGTTGTCATTTCTGATAAGAGCTGAACGCTGGCTGAAGTCAGAATAAACTCTCGTTACGTATTTCTGGATTTTTTGGAGAAACTGCTTGAGGTTAACAAGGGCTTCTGAAGAACCTGGTAGTAGGATCTTAAAGGGTGGGATGGTGGTGGGGAGTTGGGAGGGTTGAAGGAATCCTAGCTGTGAATCTTGCCCCCAGAAGGGAGAGTTTCATGGAAAAGAGCAACGAACTTGGAAAATAGAAATAATCTGTTTGTTCCTTGCAGAGATGAGCTGAGTACCTGTCAGCTGCGGATCAAGATGCTAGCAAAGCAGCTGGAGTATGCAGACATTGAAATAGAGAAAGAGGAGGAGGCTGGCAATGTGTAGGTAGAGAGTATTCCTGGACACCAAAGATTACAGGCATCTGCTATGTTTATCTGTGTAATTAAGGAGATAAGCTTTCCTGTTTTCATCTCTTCATGTTGTTGAACAGTTGATAGAATTTTTAAGCACATATATTAAAGACATTAATGAACCGGTCATGAAACCCACTGCCGTTCTCAGGTTCAGGTGTAACCGCATCAGCTTGGAAGGCTATTCTGGTACAGGGGCACCGCGCTTCCGGCTGGTGAGCGCAGCAGCGTGGTCACTCCCGTGTGGGTGAACGCTACCATTGCGGTCACTTTCCGGCTGATGTATTCTCAGCAGTAATTCCTCCTTTTGAAATAAAGAAAAATGGTGCATTGGCTTGGGAGTCATTGATCTCTATGCGTTCTGGTCTAGAGGCCACATTCTGTTAGGTAAATTAGTGCAGAAGGAGGGGGAAACTTAGGAATGGAAAGGAAAGAGGCTTATATTTTAAAATACAACAGCAGGTTATTAAATCAGCCTAGCCCACTACTGTCAATTATGTTTATCAGGGTCTCAGTCGCTTCTATTCCGTATGATGAACCAACACCAATGTGCTATGGCAGTTTTAGAGGTCACGGTTTTGCTTCTGGTAGCTATTACAAGCAGGATTTATATATGTGCCATTTCTTTTTCTGTTTGTTTTATGTTGTGAAATGCACGAATGCCTTTCAGGAGTAGTCCTGCATACAGGAGCTGTTCTGAAACACTTTTGCTATAAAGTGGGAGGCAATTTACTGTATTCCTCACATTTGGTTTAAATAGAAAGAAGTGGGTGGCTTGTGTACCAGGAACCAGTGTATTGTGAACAAACTTTGCAGCTGCATTTTTATGACCTGTGTTAATCTTCAAGTTAGTGTAGCGATGAATGATACAATGATAAAGGTAGGTTAACTGCCAACATGGACTAGCTGCTTAAACGAAAATGGGTGAGTTGAATGCTAATGAGACTCCGTGATGGGTGCTCGTACTCCCTGTGCCGGATCTCGGGGAGACAGCCCTAGTAACAAAACCCCGCAGAGACGGAAGAGCAGTGTAGAAGTCTTTATGCTTATGACGGGTTGGACTGTGAGGTCTAGCTATGCAGAAAAACAGCAGTTCTCACAATCTATTGTATTTAACCAGCGAATAGTGGAGTAAGAAGACTTGATAAATTTCTGGCTTGCGAAGCTCAAAGGCATCATGTTTTAGCAATAATGGAAATACTAGCTACCATTAGCATTACTGACGCCCGATACAAAAATTTCCAAGTTAGAGTAGTAACTGCGGGTAGAAGACCCATTTCCAACTTTCTTTTCGAGGAAGGAAGTTTATGTTGAATATGGTCAGTTCACTGTCTGATGATTCTGTAGTATAGCATCCAGTAGTTTTCCTGGGTAGAGAAGACCAAGGAAAATAAACAACTGTGTGGCAACCCTGCCACTGTAGGCAAAGTACATCGAATATTGCAATGCCATTTTAAAGGCAAAATCCCTGTAAGTGTCCCTACACTTATTTTCATTAAAAATACTACTTTCATCAGCTTGAGAAATGAATAGTCACGTTAAGCTACTGGTCAGTGCTTTTGAAATACTCCTCTGTAAATCTCAACCAATGTGTAACAGTTTAAAGAAAGCTATGCCTTTGAACGAAGAATGGGCGCTTGGAAGGCGAAGTAAGAGACTGCATAAATTAGTGGAATTCTAATACATAAATCTCGGCCTCAAAGCTATTGTTTGTTGTTGCTGATCTTGCTGGGGAGGGAGGGGGATTTTTGTTTAACCTTTATTAATTCCAATTTCTTTCCGATTGTTTCTTTTTAACGTTAACAGTGCAGCCTTGTCCCGCCTTCAGGCAATGCACAGACGACTGTGCACTGAACTGGAGAAAGAGAAGGATTTTGAGTTGAAAATTGCTTTGACACTAAAGGAAAACATGTAAGTGAGGGAATGAGAAACAGTGTGACGGGAGTCAATCTTTATTATGGTCTTCGTATGCTGTTTAATGGATTCAAAAGTTAATCACTACGGAAGTTGCTTGTAAATACTGAACTACGTAATTTGAGGTCATGTGAGGTTGACTGCAAGGCAAAGGATCTTGAGAGCAACTTTTAGCCTGAACAGTTCATTCCTTAGGAAATCGGTTGCTGTGGCTCAGCTCCTGAGTTAGTTTTGCACACATAAATGAAGTTTTGATTTTATTTGGAGCTGTGCATACATTGTGGACCTAAACAGCTCTCACTTTAAATGGGAAATAAGCTGGACTAAAGGAGACCTGTCTGTGATACTGATGTCTGAGCATAAACACTTTAATTTATGCCTCTTAGTGGTTTTTATAGGCCATAAAGGAAAAGGTTGAAATTGAGACTGATGCAGACGTTGTAGTGATACTGTGTATTTTTATGCTAAGCTAATACTGCTGCTTGTAACTGGTTGTTCACGCAGACTAAATTATTTATTTATATGAGACAGAATAAAACTGTCTTTTGCAGAAGGCAACAGGCGAGTGTGTTTATATTTTGGTACTGGAGGTACAACTACTAATGCCACCACGTCAAGGGAAGAACACAAGCACGAGCTTATAGATGTGATTAACCAGACGATTAACCAGAATACAGGATGTTCTGCTGCAGTGTTGTGTAATAGCTTTAAAATGCTTGACTCGTTTATTGCGTTATTAGCAATAACTATATTAATCTGTTTATGTGTATCCCTACCATATCTAAATTCCTTCAGCAAAACATAGAAGAATAAAAGCTATGGCCTGTCCCTGAAGTTATTTACTGTTGAAGAAAAAGCTATTTTTCTAAATTTTCTTGTTTTTCGTATTTCCTTCTGGGTAAATGTGAATTTGAGAAACAACCCGGAGCTTAATTTTTTTACTTTTTTTGACCGATATTTTTGATGGCCTTAAAATGAGATACGCTGTTAGATATGAGCCTTAGTCTGAAAGGTACGATACCTGTGTCAGTAACAGGATACGATTTACAATATAATTTAAAAAAATAAAATAAAACATGGCTAGCTTTTCATTTTCACCATAGAGCCTTACCTACTCAATAGCCTTAAGTAAGTGAAAGAATGTCAGTATTTCAGTGAAAACAGCTCACGCTTCCTTTTAAAGGCTTGAGATGTGGCGGATAGAAACTGAGCAGGGAAAATACGAAATCCTCCATGAACAACTTAAAAAAGCTGAGGAGGAGCTCGAGATGCAATACCAAGAACGAGCTGAAGTGCGGATTTGGAAGGAAAAAATAGCAGCACTGCAAGCAGAAGAAAATTGGCGGTCTAGAGAAAAGTAAGTGTCTAAGTCAGACTCTGCTTCCTTTCTCTGTGTTCTTTTTAGCCAACTGGGAAGATGAGCTAATTCAAATACCAGTGGTGGTGTGTTTCTTAGCTGGGTGTTGCTTCAGGAATATTTTATGAGGAAATGGAATTAAAATTAGAATTTCCCACAGTCTTGCAGTTATGCAGGTAAAGATTTCTGACATAGGAAGATAAACTTACTAAAGACAAAAACTGGGAATGCTTTTTGTCTAAGGAAGTTTATTAGATCAGACTAACTGCATGTGTCTGCATTGCTGTTGGCTGCCAGGACCTTCGGAACTTGCGATCGAGTTCATCGAGGTTTCTTGGAGAGAAAGACGACACCAGTTTATCAATTTGTCTATAGGTTTTGTGAAAACAAGAGACTGTACGGGGCGGGGGAAGACTACTGTCCTCATTTCAGCACATGTTAATAACCCCAACCCCACCCCTCGATATCATTGTGTTGGCATCAAGGATTCCTTAGTCCTGCTGCAACTGTTGGTTTGCCTGTGTTTTGTAGAAAAGAAGAGGAGGCCCAGAAAGAATATGAAGAAAGGCGTAAAAAAATGCTTGAAGATGCCAAAAGGAACCATGAAAAAGCAGTATGCTTCCTGAGAAAAAGCATGGCAAGGTTATTGTTCACTCCTCTTCTGTGTTGTACGTTCTCTGGTGTACAATAGTTTACTCTTTGGGCTTTGAAAAATAATCATTTTTCTGCTAGGAGTACCTTCTGTTACACTTGGAAATCTTCCGCCACAGTGCCGGTGCTGTGAAGCATTCCAGTCTGACATGGCACGAAAGGCCGAGGAGAGAAGGAAATCCACTTACTGTCCTAGCGTGGTCTCCCAGTTCCCTGTAGCCGGAGGGACTGTCTCGCTGAGATGCAGAGGGGTCTGACTACTTGTAGGCATTAATAATGATTTGAAACACTTTCTGTATGTGTGTGTCATTAACTGAAGTAGTTTGAAGTAGTGTAACTAAATTCCAGGTTTGAAACTTGCACTCTGCTGCTCTGTATTCCTTCTGCAATGTAGTGAAAAAGCTTTCTTGCTGTCTGGTACACTTGGTTGCTAGGCCATTTCTTTGTGCTCTGGTTCTTTTCTGGTTGATGGTAAATTCAATGTTCTCTTCATAGGTTCATGTTTATATAATTATTGTGGTGTTGAATTCTTTTGCTATTAAAAAAAGTGTGAACATTTGTTACTTACTTTTACTTGTATATTAGGACTTAATTGAAAAAATGATTGAAATAGTTGTACTGTTTCTGTGTTGGTTTGTTTTTCATTAGATGGCATGTGCAAATTTGTAATAATTAAGAAAAACACCCAAATAAGATTTCCTCCCCCTCCCCCCCCCCGAGTAATATATCAACTATACCGATCTTACTAATTTTTTTCTAGTTTACCATTATATTGGCTGCAATATTCTCAGACTTGATTCACGCCCACATATTTCTAGCTTTTAGAGTTTCTAGGGTTTATTTTTAGCGTGGGTACAAGTGGTTGGCTCGTATAAAGTTGACTACGTGATAGTTTAGATATTGGTTATATGAGCAACACCTGAATTCTTACTTTATGACATATGCCTAGCTGCTAAAATAATGTGGAACACATTCTTCATATTCAAAATTAAAAAAAAAAAAAAAAGTTGTTGAGCAAACTAGTTGAAAGCCTGTTGGCACTTGTAACTTGAGCGGTACCGTATATAGCAGAGCCTTCCAACTGTTCCGTTTACCCATCCCCAGTATCATAGTAAACACAGAGGCTTACAGGAAGAATGGTGACGCTGACAATTGCTACTTGTCAGGTTCAACATTCTAATACTAAAAGCTTTCCAGGATATGAGCCTGAAAGATTTTACTTTGCTTACAGAATTCATGAAAAAAATGCAAAGGAAGAAGTGAAAACTCAGGAGCATATGGAGAGAAGGATACAAGCTGTGCTTTCCCTGAGAAACAGCATAACTTCCAATAGGGTACTGCTGCTGTGGCTTGGATGGGAATGAAGAGAGTGACTTGTTAGACTGCTAGCTTTTAATGGAAGTAATTGCAGTTTTCATTGCAGAATTGTTGTGTGATGCTGTCAGATCACTGACCAAATGTCTTTTGAAACTGGGGAGGATTTAACTGTAGGAGTAACGGTGTTAGATTTGCATGGGCAGATTTTGACGCTTCCACTTACGGCGTTTGTTCTGTCAACAATCTAGTTGTTCTGGTAGGGTAACTGTCTTGAAAATAATGCATACTACAAATAAGCTCTCTGAAAACTCGGCCGGAAGCATTTCCAGTTATTTGGATTCCAGTGCAGCAGTGCTTCATATGGAGAAAACATATGGAAGAAAACCAGTTACTTAAGAATTTAAATAATGTAAATGAAGAATTTCTGAGCTATGCTACGTTGCTCTCCTACTTATGTTCTGTAGAATGTGCAGGAATGATCTTAATTTAATACTAATTTGATTAGAACTGTATCTTTTCACATGGCTTCATGGAGTAGCGTTTCAAGGGCAGGCTAGAAGGGTAAAGAAGTCGCCCTGACCTAGTCAGAGCTTTCTGCATCTCAGCACACCGTGACTAAGGTGTATCTTGAAAACAATAAGTTCTACTTCAGAGAAATCTACCACAAATTTATACTTAGATAAGGGGACCAACACTAGATTCTCTGTTTCATATTCTTCAATATGTGAATCAAATCGGTAACTGTGGTTTGTATGGCTTCATAGGAAAAACTCCAAACTCTTCAGGTTTGGAACAAAGCAATGGCCCTTGAGGCAAAGAAGCAGGAGATGAAAATGAGGGAAGCTATCCTGGCAGAAGGAGGCAATGTTGCCAAGGAAATTTTTCTCCATAAACGACTGCTAGAGCATGAAAAAGAGAAACAGTAAGTATTCATATCTATATCAAACTCTCAGCTGCTTACTGATGCTCATGCAGGAATACATTGGAGCTCTTAATCAGATTCTGAAAACATAACATCTATGATGCTGTCTCAAGGGAGTGAACTCAATCTTACACCCTGTATGTGTGACATTTGTCGTCTGTTTTAAGCGACTTGAACTTCTAGCTTAGGTGTTATTCAGAGAACCAAAGTTAGGAGCCCGTGTTCTGTGATTACTGCAAAGAAGATAAAACTACTCCAGGAGGGAGATTCAGTGAACCTAAACCAGATGCCTGAAGTAACTGTGCTTCTGCGTTTCCTGAAGACTGGCCCTGTAAAAACTGAATAGCTTTCTTAGGCTTTTAGAGGCAATCTCAGCAAGATTGCGCTGCAGTAAGGTCAGAAGCAAGGTACTCTCCTTTGTGCTTTTCTTGATTGAAATTACTCCTCTGCCTTTGTAGTAAAGTTAATAGGAATGTGCCTGTATCTCATCTGCTCCAGTGCAAAGCTTATTGTTTTTAACCACTTAGGAAGATGAATTTGAGGTAAGATACAAAACTGAGGGTGGCTGAGGTACGTGTTTCTGCATGCTGGCTCTGCTACATAGGCAGTAACCTGTAGCAAATGTTAGAGATTTAATAAGTAAAGGTTCAGTAAGTCTTAAGTTTTGATTAAATAAAGCGTCCGTCTTGATAGCTGCAAAACACCGCTTCTGCTATCCCTAAATATGTTCTAAAAATCATGTTAATAAAATAATCATATCGGTTTGTGGAGATCTGCTGGAAATATCCAACTCTATTTAAGTTTAATCCTTTTCACCTTCCTTGCTTTCTCCCTTTCGCTGTTTCCCTTTGCAGGCCCAGGGAGATCCCGGTTTGTTAGTCGTCGTGTTAGCTGTGTCGTGTTTCTCACAGCAGTTCTCTTCTAATTTCAGCTACCATCCTGCTAATCTGCTGAACTGCTTAGTTCTCTCTCCCAGGGTACTGCCTTTCTCCTTTTCTGTGAAGGCATATTCTCAGTTTTCTCTGACTATATTTCAACCTGAATATTATTTCTGAATTATATGCAAAGAAAATAACTTTCTAGTCATTAAAACCATTATGTCATTAATTTGCATATTACATATCACCTATAAAAAGCTTCTGAAAGAACTGATCATAGGAACCGAGGATGGCTTTATACTTGCGGCAGGTAGCGCTGGGAGTCAGTATACCATTCCTATGTCTTTGTAACCATGATTAACTTCTTTGCACCATGATTTTCCAAAAACAGATTATAAATACAGTGTCATTTATCTGCTGCAGTGGGGCATCATGAGGCTAAATCCAGACATTAAAGTGCTTCAGTAGGCAGTAGCCTGTATTTAAATGAGAGGTGACATTTTCTTTGCTCCTATTTAGAATCAGTAATTATTTATGTGGATTAGCTGAAGAGGTGAAAGTCTATATTAAAAGTGATCATTAGTGTGGATAATGTTTGTTGCAGAAAATCATGTATTGAACTGCTGGTATTAAAACTGAGATTAAATGATCTACTGTCACTTTTGTCACACTACCCAGTGTGTCATGGAATTTGTAGTCGCACATAGCTTTGAATTCATGTCTTCCAAGTTCAGTGCTAATGTCCTTACCTTTAGCCTTTCTTCCTCCCTTTATTAAATGCACTGGATTTCAGATAGGCAGTTTTCTTTAAACAGCTAACTAGGTTAGGAAAATTATTTAAAAACTTTTTTTCAGTAGTGATGACTGGTATGCTCTGTCAGCTCCTCAACTTCTAAAACACTGTGAGCATAGTTTGTCTGCAAAAATGTATAATTAGCCTCTGAATCGCCTGGTGTCTTGGCACAAATTACCACTGCACTCAATTTAAAGACTTGCTATTTAGCTTAAGAGCTCAAAAGAAACTGGACTGTAGTTAATATTACTAGTAAACAACCATGGTTGGTTTAATATTTCTTACACCGTTGGATTACAGAGCTTCTAGAGAACAGCAAAAATCAAGAAAAATTGAGATTGTATCTCAAATTTTGCAAGAAAAAGCTTATATTCAAAAGCAGAAAAAAAGTCAGTCCTGTACTAAGGCAATTAAGGGTGGCGGTAAACTTGAGGATTCTTCACTGTGGAGAATGAAAACATGGCAGTATATTGAGAAGACGTGCAAACGTTCAGCTGGAGCAATATCACAGGTAAACGAAGGCCTAAGAATTAACTGCCTTTAGATTTATTTTCTGTCAAAGGTGCAGGGCAGGGAATTCTTTTGCCTGCGAATAGCACAGGCTACAACCAAATACCAGACGGTACAGAACAAGTGCGGAGTAATTTCTCCATTAGATCTCTTAATGACTGTTAGTCTCCCTTTTCTTGATTGTTGATCCTTGTACGAATGAAGACATTGTCCTGTTTGGTGTGGGGTGCTTTTTTAAGGGCATTTGTAAGAAGAGGTGAATTTTCAAACACATGAATCGCAATAGGCATCAAAAACCATGCAAAGCACCCTCCGTTCCTGTTTAGTTACCTTCATCCCTGGGGAAGGGCTCAGATTCGTTTGCCAGCACAAGAGAAACGTTTCCACTGTATTAGAAAGGAGACAGTGGTTCTCTCTAGACATGAGCTTCCCGGACGGGTGTTTTTATCTGCATGGTATTCCAGGGAGTACTGGCCTGGAAAACGGAGGCGGAGTGAAGTGAATTCCCTGATCAAACTAGCGGCTTCATGCAATCTTTAGGTATTTAAAAGAAAAGGGGTGAGGGAGAGGTGTTGGTAGGAATAGCCATACTACAACAACACAAAGTCCTTGGTCGTCATGTGATACACAAAACATTCAAAAACTACAGTCAGTATTCTTATGCCTGAGGACTGTTTCTAGCCTCCTGTAGTATACAGTTAATGTCATGTAGATGCTTTTAACACAAGATTTTTGTCTGTATTCAGTGTCTTAAGAAAGGATTGACGTAAGTGGTCATCTTTGGCCTCTGAACTTTATAGACCTGTCATTTTTGTATTAAAAGATCTCCTCAGAAACTGTTAACTGTTGAAGTAACTGTCCTCTAGTAATTTTTAACCATATCTTCAAAACTTCTTTCACAAAAGTCGTGGTGCTCTCCGTCAGCTTGTTCCTCAGCTGGTGAGAGAACTGCTTCTGTAGGAGAGACTTCTGAAAAAAGACCCCATGATGTGCTCTGTGGAAGTGGTGAAGATGAGAACGAGAGGGACGAGACCCTAGCAGAACCAGAGTTCCCCGGGCTTTGGAGTCAGGAACGTGACTTGCGCAAGGTAAATGTTGTGATATCTCCTATTAGAAATAAAAAGAAAAAACAATGTAGATGAGATCCTTTTGTAATTGACTCACTGTGAAGTTAGTCTTTACAAAATTTTGACAGTATCTGTAAGTATTTTAATGGATAAGAAAAGTTTCATTTGCCTCCCTAGTACTTGTCCGTATCTGAAGTAATGACACTGGCAAGTGCTGGTTTAGGAACCTTGCTTAAAAACAATAATTATCTCTTCTGCAGTTAAAACGCAGACTTTATTATATAGATGTAGAGATTCAGATGTGAATATCATCAGAGTAATTGCTGTTTGACACTATTCTTGCAGTGTTTGTTCTCTTAAAGGGAAAACAATACTTCAGTTTTAAATCAGAGCTATGTGAAGACACATCACATCATGCTCACTTGTTTGAGTGTAAAAAGACTAAACATGACTTTCTGTTGAGTTGGCAACACAGATTGCTTTATGTGGAAACAAGTTTTCGTACCAACCTAGGCAAAGAAAAGCATATTTTCAGCAAAGTAATAGTATTCTATACTCTAAACAGAAGTAAAAAATACACTCATAGGTGGAATTGTGTAGTTAAGATCTTAAGTGTTGTTCCAGGGTATACTTGCATATACCGCTTTTTTGAGATGTAGAAGACCTTTAAGAGCAGACTTTATAATCAATCAAGAAGAAATAATGTCAGTACATATTCATATGCTTGCATGAAAGAAGCGCTGGCCCATGACTGAAATGTTCCGGTGAAGTTAGCTGATTGGTTTTTTTTCTGAATTAGTATTTGTTTAAGAAGTTGAGGGGACAAAACTCTAAGTGCAGAAGAGCTAATACTGCCATTAAAAACACGATGTCATAGCGTGGGATGATGATAAACTACAGAACAGACAGCGGAGAATAAACTAAATTCTTCGTATAGAAGTTGGGAGGCTGACTTTGATCTGGAGAGAAACGGACAAAGGCTGGGTGGACACTGAAAGATGCCATTTCCAGACTTTTCTACTTTGAGCTACGGATTCAGCGATCACACTTCCTTAGTCATGGTGGTTTTTACTGGTGTTCCTTATTAGATACCCAAAGAAGCAATGGATCCGAAGCAGCTGGCTCCAAGGGTAGAGAAAAAAGACATTTCTGAGAAAAAAATGGAGGAATTCCAAACTGGAATTTTTCACAAGCAAATAGTGTCTGGGCGTGAACATAAGGGATGTCCTTTCTATAGTAAACCAAGCTGCATTCATTTCCAGGTTAGTGGCCATTCTGCATAGGATCTCTAAAGATGATGAATGTATCTACTATACGTATATGCCGATGCCTTGATCAAAATTCTGTTGCACTGGGAAGAAAAAAAAAAATCCTTGTTGTCTTTAATAGGTCTTTAGTCAAAACTGAAACAGTACTTGCCTTTTTCTCTGGCGACCTCTTAGGTAAGTTATATTAAAGAAACTACTTAGCTTTACTCCTTATGTCTAAATCATAAAATACTTCCTTTACTTAAGGGGTTTTAAATACTGTCAGAAAGGTGACAAATGATGAAACATCTTGTTAGACTGTGTTCCATGCTTTTTAAAAGGCAGTGTAACTGTTACTTATATATTATTTGTACATACATTATTACTATAAAATAATGTCCTTACAGTAGTCATGACTACAATCCAGTTAAGAGTTCGGTTTGCAAGTGACCATCATATTGTACTGGTCATGGGGAAACGGAGCTGCAGTTTCTCTCTGTTGTGATTAACAAGTGTGCTGTTAAAAAGCATGACACCATGCCTAGGCCTTCTCTGGACTTGAGAAGGTTGCTGGTGTGGCGCACAGACAAGGCTTCTGTCAGAAACCTGCTGCCAGTCAGCCTGCGGGACTCTTCTTGTCCGTGTGCTAATGAGCGTGCCCAGGGACACAGCTTTCATGGTGTTCTGGTTTGACTGGGAGCTGGGAGCCTGTGCCTTGCGCAGAAACAGCAGACCTCCGTTGGAAGACAGCGGCACCTAGCTCGGTGTTCAAAAAATCTGTATTGTCTTTGCCACACACAGTCTAAATTGGTAACAACTCTGTTAGACCATGAACGTGACATCAAGTTTTTCACATTCGCTGCAGGAAAAGACAGAGCGGCTTGGTGCAGGAGCTGTGTACAAACCCAGGCAATGTTGCCCCATCCGTGAAGCACGAGTTCCTGGCTGTATCTTTTAAAAGGGTTTCTTTGGAGCCAGGCAATGCTTTCTGGGTTTATACAATACCTTGCACACAGGCCTGTGGTCCCAGCGGGGGCTCTGAGCACAGCTCTGGTAAAAGTAGTCGGTTTTGTCGTTACGTGTGTAAATGCTGCTTCCTGTAATTCACGCCACCTGCTGTGTTTGGTGTTCCAAGGATTTTGATGTTGGTCAAATCTACAAAAAGAAGATCGTTTTGATAAATGCATCCTACAGTGTTAATTTCTGCAGACTAGTGGGAATCAGTGAATGGCTCAAGGACTTCATCAGTATTCAGTGAGTAAAATTAACTCGACTCATTGCTGCTTTTACCTTTGTGTCACAACAGGAGATGTAACCCAATTCTGTAGCAAATTAAATAGATTTCAGTAAATATATCTAAATTATTATATTCCATTCTTGTGTGATGAGGAAAGGAACTGTGTCTCAGAGCTGAGAAGTAAGAGGCTTACTGAGCCTGAGGTGCATGGCGTGGGTTTCTGTAGTGGTGATAGCCCAGTCCCTAATCTGCGGACAGCAATATAGACCTGTGGTAGCTGCCAGCCCTGGGGAAGTAGAAAGCTTTTTTCCAAAAATATCAGACCCTTTTAAAAAGGGATCCTAAAGGATCTCTTTGTAGGTACAAAGAAGTAAAAGAGGACCCAAGCTTCTTTCTGGGCCACCACAAAGGGCTTTCAGCCCAGGCAAACCTCTTTCACCAGCTGGCATCCTTCATAGCCTGATTCACAGTAATTTCCAGATTACTGCTGAAGTTCAAACGTGAAGAAGCTGATGAAATAAAGGAAGCGATCTCAGCGCAAAGAACACTTAAGTGGAAATCCTGTGGTCTTTCCCATCATTCCATTAATATAATCCCGATGACAGGTTATAAAATGAAGCACTGTCCAGTTGGGAGAAATTGCAAATTAATCTGTTTAACTGTATTGATAATTTTATTTGATTGTTTATAAATAAACAAATGGAAGTATCCCCAAAATATTTCTTTTTGAGAATAATTCAGAGACTAGCTTTCTGTGGAGATATTTCAAGCCTTTAAAAATAGAAAATACTACTTTTCACAACTTGCCTTTATCTAAAAAATGAAGTCAAGAAAATAATGTATTTACTTGGAACTCTGTGAAACAAAAAATGGTGGTAGTCTAGCCTGGAAGTGGAAAAAAAAGCTAAGGCTCTTGTTTGTAAGTAAGTGGAGCTTATTGACAAATAGGAGACATCAGAACTAATTCATTTGGCTTCCATAAAAAGTTATGGTTTCAACTCTTAAGGCTGACTGACTTGAAGAAAGCATTTCTGTGACTCTCTAACCGTGCCCCAGTGGAACAAACAAGTCGTATTACCACAGTAACTGATGTCTTACTCCGGAGATAGTTTTACAGCTCACTACCCACTGCCACTTCGTAGCGATAGGTTGCACTTGGAATTTCTAGCTGGCTTGATAAGAAAAATGATGGGGCATAGTTAAGCCATTGCTGTCCCACTTAGTCCCTCTAAGAGTGCGTTGGAATGTGAACGTGCTGCAGTCCTTGACGGAATGGAATCACTTGAGAGCTACAAAGTCTGAATCCAGCTGCTGGAGAAGATCTGGGTAAAGATGTTTAGCGCTTTAGTCACAGACTAACGGAGATGCATAATTGACCACAATACAGCACAACACTTAAGCTTTTAAACTTGCTCTGGTGCTCGGCTGAATATGAATGTTGTTTTTTGCTTGTTTTGAAATCACGTATGTGGATTTAACTTTGACCGACTTATAATACATGTTTAATTTCTATTACAAAGCCTGAAGTTACTAATCTTCTGACAAAATGACTTTTTTTCCCTGCTCTGAAAGATTGTTGGTTTTTTTCTCATTCAGTATGTTGGACAATTATATATTTCAAATCAGTACCTCTGATTTGTGACCACAAACGAAACAACCCCTTCTGAAAGGCCTAAGTCTTTTCTTGATATAATTGCCTTTTAAAGTACTCTCCAAATACAAATTAAACATCAGGTATTGTTAATTGAATGAGTCAATTATTTTTTTTGATGTCTGATGAATTAATTAAATTTTTTTCAAATAAATTCATTACCCATACATTTGCCAGATAGATAATAGCAAAAATCATCTATAGATCTTCTAATCCATTCTCATATTTTTAATAATTTGAACAGCGCAGATCAGATTTGTAGACACTGATCTTGCACCGTATAATGCTTATCTCTTCTCAAGTAGAACCACACATGAATTGTTACAAAACGGTTTTACCAAGTATTTTGAAAATCCCCAGTACGTCTAAGCTGTCGTGGTGTCAGCTGTCCTCTAAATCACTTACACGGGTGGTTGTAGCCATAATGCTTGAG